CGGTGATTAATACAAACCTATACGGAATCCCATTAATTACTTAGTTTATCCTAAAACCATTATTTTTCTTTTTAATAGTATTTAAAATTGTATTGTATAATTTTTTGATTTAAGATTTTTTGCTAAATTTACATTTGCTGTTTCTAAATGAATGCCAGAAATAATCGTTTGCATTTTCTGCAAACTGAATAAAAATTCAGACTTCTTAAGTTACTTATTAAGTATGTGCTTTGAATTGATATTTTAGGTTAATCTTAGGGTTTTATGAATTTGCCAATTGCACAAGTTATAAGACATTTAGAATTCCTTGTCAAATCCAAATTAAACATTGTTAGGTGGAGCTTCATTTCGGATCAAAATGCATAAAGAAGAGATTCGTTGGTCGATCTCACCAGATAAGGACGGATGAAGCTTGTTTTACTTTAGCCGCTTGGCTTCTATTCGATATTCATATTGACGCAGTCCATGACACTTTCTCCCTCGTTTCGGGTCTAAACGTGCTGAACATTCGCCCATAATATGATGGACATCCTCAGAGCTGAGGGTCATTATGGTAAAAGTATTACGTTAACACTTAGGTAAGAACACTATCAAGGTTTATCTTACTTTTTATATAAACTCAATCGAGCCAAAAAATTAAAAACCTGGATAGATCGATATAGGGTGGTTTGGTGAATTTTCTTTCATACTGGTCCTGTTATTTTTGCTCGATTGTATGAGTATGTGTATTTATGCATGTTAGTGTCTATATGCAACTCTTATTTAGAAGCCGTATTGCATATAGACGCTGAAATTCACAAATGCAAATACTCATATAATCAAGCAAAAATAACAGGACGAGTATGAAAGAAAATTGACCAAACCACTCTATATCTATCTATCTAGGTTTTTAATCTTAAATTTTTGGCTTCATTGAATCTATATAGGAAGTAAGATAGAGCCGAATAGTGTTCTAGCTTTAGTGTTAATGTGAGTCTCTTAGAAGAATAAAACCCAGCTCTAATGATATCCAGCATATGATGGACGAAAGTTCAGCACGCTTGCATCCGAAATGAAGGAGAAAGTGTCATGGACTACATCAACATGAATATCGAATAAAGGCCAAACGGCTGCAGTACAACAGGATTCAGCTCTCTATATCTGGTGAGATCGACTAACGAATCCCTTCTTCATGCACTTAAATTCTAAATGAAGGTCCGGCTAACAATATTATCTCAGGAGATTCATCGAAACCAAGTTTTTGTTCGTATCCAAATAAAACATTTTTAGGGCATATGAGCTTTCGTCTACCATTTAAGAGACATAGGCGGTAGAAATCCATTTTTCAATAAGAATGCAAAAGACAATTTAGGTTAAGAAAAGGATGACTGGCTACAATCGTAATCGCTACTCATATTCCATTTTGAGATCTTCATTGGGCATCGCATGATTGGGTTAGTTACGCAATGGTTACCCTATATTTTTGCAGAAAGTTAGGTAGATGCAAGAAAGGAAAGTATATGTGAACCCAATAGTTCTTTTTCTTAAATAGGACAGTATTTGACCTTGCAATTTTAGCACATTTTTGTTTATTTGATAAAGTGTGCATTCAATGTCCAAGTCCTGTAACCCGAGAAAGCGCTAACCGGACTCGAATAAATTTAAGCCTTCTTCTCTTGCTCAGCTATACTATTTCGCTGCTTACATCTATCAAACGGCGACAAGTAATTACAGCTCAATTTAATACACTAATTCCTTCTATTCGGGTTGTTGGCGGTTTTGCTTACTTCTATTGACTCCCTAATCCCACATTTGGATGCGGAGTCTCCCTAATCTGTAAACCACAATTATTTAGACAAGTCTATTTTGTAATCTATAGTACCAATAATTTTTGAAGATGTCTTTTGTTCGGATAATGATTCATGTGTGTGTCATCGTTTCGTCCACACATATATACAACCACCTAAACTCAAAACCTAGTAGCATTCTGATTAAGAAAGAGGGTCAGAAAATTCTCGAAAATAAGTCATAGCTAAGGAAGTCGTTAGTTTCTCTCTATATAGTGTATTATTGTTCCGCATATACAAAAAATATCACACAGCTAGATATTTGTCGAAAGTGTAGTATCAAACACCTCTCTATTTAAGCGAAGTAGCACCGTGTTCACATCAACTTCATCTATCTACTTGAATGTATGACAAGCATGAAGTAATCATCTAAATCATGGGATGCCTCATATATATGAAAATTAGATATGGCAACTGGATATGATTGCAGCCAAAA